TTTACCATTCAAGTATCTAGAATATACTTACCCAAAAAAATGTATTTAGAATATACAAGCCATGTAGACAATTTTAACTTTGATTCTAGAACACTCCTAAACAGTATTTAAGATATTTAAAAGGTAATAATTATTTTTTTAAAAACGAATTTCATATAAGTATTTATACAATTCAAATGTCTATAAAATAATTTTTTTTTTCCTGGCAATAACAAAGCAACAAGGAGAAAAGAACAAACAAACCAACACACAACACCCCAAACAAACAACTAAGAAGATAAAACCAAAACATCTCGCACAACAAGATCCACAATCCGAGGGAAAATAGGATCCAACACCCGATCGGCTCCCACACAGTGACGAGATACTTTCGCAAGGGCATGAGCCACTCGATTACCCGATCGTCGAACATGAGATAATGAACTCAGAGAAAATACCTGAAGCTCCGCCTTAATATCAAAGCAAATAGGCGCAATGTCAATAAGACATGTTGTACCATCAACCATGGCATCAACAACTACCTTTGCATCAGATTCAAAACACAAAAAATTGTTATCCAAAAGACCAGGCCCAAAAAATAGCTCGCTGAAAAGCAAGAGCCTCAGCTACCGTTGCCGACGATGAAAAGAAAGGTTGAAACACCACCGCATGAAAAATAGTTCCGTGAAAATTACGAAACACTACTCCACCACCTCCAAAAGAAGAACCCTTAAGAAAGCTTGCATCAAAATTACATTTGATCAACCCCTGCAAAGGAGGCAACCAGCAGGCAGAAGAGGACGAAGAAACATCTCTACCCAATTTTTTGCATTGGATTTTAGCCTCCTGAAATTCCCAAAAGCACGCTAAAGCCTTAGCAACCACCTTCCCCAGGCTCCATAGCACACCCTCAAACACCATTCAATTCCTAGCCTTCCATATACACCAAGCGCAAAAAGATACAAAGCCTAGAGCAATAGTTTTTTCAGGCAAGGAAGCAGCCCCGTCCACCAAAAATCGCCAACCATCCAAGAAAGACTGAAACGTGGCAGACGAAAAATCAAATCTGAGAGGGGACAATTTCCAAACCTATAGAGAATGTGGACATGTGAAAAAAAGATGCACAATAGATTCCGCTTCCAACCCACACCGTGGACACAAAGGAGATGCCATACATCCTTAAAATAGGAGTAATGAGCTAGTAGGCAAAGCATTATGACAACAACGCCACAGAAAATGCTACACCTTGGATAAAGTTTTGCAACGCCATACTGAATGTCAAAAGAAATTATCCGTTCGGGCTATAGAGCTATCAAAAAGAGTAACATCAAGATGATAAGCAGAGCGCACAGAGAATTTTTCGATCAACTCAGGTGCCCAAATTTGAACATTTGACTTATCCCAATGACTGAAATGCATTCGAGATATTGCTTGAACTTCATAAGTAGGGAAAAGCTATTGTAAGACATCCAACTTCTAAGTTTTATTATGCTGATTAATCAAATTAGCTACAAAACAAAAGGAAGAATCAACTTGTGGAGATGCTAATTTGTGAGGAAGCTCAAGAACCCAATGGTCTTTCCAAATATGTATAGATTTTCCATTTCCAATCAGCCACCTCAATCCTCTATTAAAAAGGGCCTGGGTGGACCATATACGTCGCCAACCCCAGGAAGGATTTGACCTTGGGGAAGCCTCCAAGAACGAGCACGAACGAAAGTATTTTGCCTTAAGCAACTGAAACGCCAAACCTTCCTATCGGACTTGAAAATTCCAAGCATGCTTCACTAAAAAGGCCAAATTGAAAGCCTCTAGATTCCTAAAACCTAACCCCCCATGCTTCTTACTCTGACATAAAGCATCCCAGTTAATCCAGTGAATAGATCGAGATTTTTCTTTTTTTCACCACCAGAAAGACATAATTTTTTGCATCAATCAAGACACTAATGTCGTGGAAGTTTGAATGAACCCATCATATACGTAGGTAAGGCATTCAACCCAGCCTTAATCAAAACTTCTTTCCCACCAGCAGAGAGCATGTTTGCCTTCCATGAAGTTAACCGCTCTTACATTTGAGATGAAAGAAACTGAAAAATATCGCGCTTAGACAAACCACTAATAGCCAGCACGCCTAAATATCGAGCATGTAATCCTTCCTCCTGCAGACCCAAACACTGGCTTAGGAATCGGCGCAAGGAATTGGGAGCATTTTTTTAGAAAAATATAGAAGATTTAGCAAAATTCACTTGTTGGACAGATGCCCGCTCATAATTGGCCAAAATTCTCTTCAAAGTTAAGACTTCAGATTCCACTGCTGCACAAAAAACAATGGAGTCATCCACAAAAAAGAGATGAGAAATTGAATGTGCATCCCTACAAATTTGGATCCCTGTCAGAAGCCGTGCTTGTTGTGCTTGAAAAATAGCCAGAGAAAGTGCTTCAACACAAATTATAAAAAGATACGAGGAAAGCGGATTACCCTGGCCCAGCCCCCGTGCAAGATGAAAAAATCCAACTGAGATCCCGTTGATTTTAAGAGAATAAGTAACTGCAGACACACAAGCAGAAAGCAGTTTTAGCCAATGAGAATTTAACCCCAGCCTGTGCAACATTTGAAACAAGAACGCCCATTCAACCCGGTCATAGGCTTCACTCATATCAAGTTTTAGAGCCATAAATGCTTTCATCCCCTTCCGCTTATTCTTTAAGTAATGCAATATTTCATGAGTGATAAATATGTTATCCGTTATATGTCGACCTGCAAGAAAAGCACTTTGGGACTCGCTGATAAGGAACCAATGATCCCTTTCAATCGTCATGATCTTAACAATAATTCGATAAGAAACATTACATCACAATATGGCCTATAGTGGGAAACAAGAGTGGGGGACTAAATTTTAAGAATCAACACAATATTGGTATGATTAAGACTTGACATCACATGACTAGATTCAAAGAAACTAGAAATAGCTCCAACAATATCAGATTTAATTACCTCCCTACATTTTTTATAAAATAGCGGCGTCATCCCATCAGGTCCTAGAGCTTTAAGAAGAGCCATAGAAAACACAGTCTACTTAATTTCCAACTCTGACGGAGCTTCTAATAGAGCTGTATTCATCTCCTTAGATATTCGACAAGGGACATAACGCAGAAATTGATCAATATTTGTAGGATTTTGATATTGAAATAATTGCTGAAAATATCTCAAAAAAACAGAATTAACAGTGTCCTCCTCTTCAACCCCATGATCATTTTCATCGGTAACACCAGAGATCATATTCCGGGTTTTTTGTCCGTTTAGTAGTGGCGTGGAAAAATTGAGTATTCCCGATTACCAAATTTCAGCCATTAATTCCTAGATTTTTGTTTCCAAAAAATCTTCTTTGCCAACCAGCAAGAACTTAAGAATTTTTCAACCTTATCAACCTCTGAATGATCATAATCAGAAGTTCTTGCTTTAAGGTCCCGAAAACTTCGTTCCGCTCTATCAACGTCAACTCTGGAATTATTATTTTTTAGTTTGGCCCATTGTATGAGAGCAGCTTTGCAATTTCGCAATTTTTGAGCCCACCCATATTGGCGAGAACCACTAACTAGATTAGACCAAACAACAGCAATAAGGTTAGCACATTCATCATCCAATGTCCAACGAGCATCAAAATGAAACTAGCATTTCTAGGATGAAACAAGGGCTGAAGCTCTAAAAACAAGGCAAATGGTCAGAGCCCACAACTGTAATATATGATAATTTAGCTTTAGGGAATAGAGAACACCAATCCTCTGTGGCAAGAGCCCTGTCGAGTCCTTGAATATTAGTCTGTCCATCTCGTTGATTATTCCATGTATATGGGAATCCCACATATCTTAAATCCAATAATTCACACCGTTCGAGCAAAGACCGAAAAGATCTGAGGTGCAGACCTGTTTTACCCGTCCACCACACTTTTCAGATGCATGAAGAATATCATTAAAATCTCCAACAAGTACCCACATTCCAATCCACAATTTGGCCTGTTGCTCTAAATAATGTCATTGCATCGCCCGCAGACTATCAACTGTGCTAGCATATATAATGGACAAATTCCACTACGGATGATTATCTGGGAAAATTACAACAGTAATGTAGAACCGCGTCTTCTCCAACACCTGCAGCTTAACATTATCAATCCACCAAAGTGCCAATCCCCCAGCATGACCCACCGGTTCAACCAAACAACCATGAGGATAGCCAAGCATATTTTGTAGAGATGCAAGGCGACGCCATCCATTTTTCATTTCAAGAAGACCAACAATATAAGGAGAAAACTGACCCTTTAGGCGTTTGTATCATGAGATAACCGACCCTTTAGACGTTTGAGTTGCTGGATAGTCAAAGAAGATCCCAGACCTTGACAATTTCACACTAAAATTTTTGGTTGCCTGGTGAATTGATCAATCTTTGCATAATTCCTTACATCATCCGGCCGTGGTGTTTCCCGAAAAGAACTAGGAGGAGGAAGAGATATGGTAGGAAGATATAGATACCATGTAACCATTTTATGTCAAAACAGGCATGTTGAAATTGATCCAAACTTAATTCTAAATCAAAATTGATTACCACAGTTTGACTCCAGGCATCTTGAAATTGACCCAAACTTAATTCTACATCAAAATTGATTACCATAGTTTGACTCCTTTAACTATACTCTTGTAATAATAGCAATGAATATTCAAATAATTCTTAACTAGGCTTTATTTTTCCTTCTTGTCATAATACTAATAATATTAACCTTTATATTAATTTGATAATAACAATTATATTAGGTATACCATCTGATGAACTAGTTGGTAGAACACCAAACTCCCTAACTCATTTCCAAAATTACTCTAATTTGCCATTTAAAATTTTTTTTAATGATAATTTCAACTACTTTTTTCCTCTTATCTAAAAATCTAAATTCTAACCTGTCTAAAACTCGTTTGAGCCCAAGCCCTAACCTAAGCCCAATTATAGCCCGACCAGTGGGCTGGGCCATTAGCAGCTTTTGTAAGAACACACATGCAAACTCGTTCTCTGTGGAGAGAGAGAGCGAAAGATCATCGTTTATGAATCACATCGGACATAAAGATCTGTTAATCTAAAGATCGATCTAGAAAAGCAAGGCCGAGTCGACGAGCTTCAGATCACCGGAATAAGAATTGCCGGTCGCCGCAGATTAAGGTTTTTCTCTTTCTCTATATTGTATGTTTATATATACTTGGAAATTTATGTATTATATAGGTTTTAGGGTTTATTTTTCTGGGTTGTAATCGTTCTGATTTAGATTTTGCAATGCAATGCGAGTTTCAAGATATAGAATTTAGTTTTGTATTTGCAGATCGGGAATTTATACTGTATGTAATTGAATTTTTTATTTTCTCATATCATAAAAATTAGATTTTGGACTGAGATTTTCATTGCAGTGTTTTTGCTGCTTGTCGGTCGGTGAGATTAAATTCGACATGGGTTTTTTGGTAACAACCCTAATCTTTGCTGTGATCGGAATCATTGCGTCTCTTTGTACGAGAATCTGCTGCAACAGAGGGCCTTCTGCAAATCTGTATGCCTCCATTGTCAATTATCTTTTGCTTAATCAAGTTTTGCCAATTATAATTTTTTTGTCTGTGAAGTTTTTGTTTTTGTATTTTTAAGTAGTATTAGATTGCTGTAATTGCATTATAGACTCACTTGCATGAGCTTTTAAGCTCTTTACGGCTTTAAGCTAATGATTTAAGGAACAATTGTTTTGCTTATTGTCTCAATGTAGTGGCTATATTGCTGGGTTTGTTTCTAGTTCTTTCCATAAAAGATGTTCAAAATTATTCTGCACCTGATTTTTTGGAAAGTAGTGTAAGAATCTTTTTATTTATCCCATCAGAATCAATATTGTTATTAAGAAGTAGTAATATTGAATATATCTTTACCTTAACATAAAGAATATTGTTTGTTAGGAGGGCATTTTTGAAATGCAACTTTCAGACAGTGTCACTCCATCTGGCTTTATGTAATACAGTAATAGTATGGACTATATTCGAAATGTTTGTCCTGTAGTTGGGGGTTTTGTATTGTTCATATGTTACTTGGTAACTTCTATCCAAATAATGTTGTCCTTTCCACTTCCTTGGTAACCTTTGAATCATTACGTATGAATAATATGGTGTTTAACCACATATTGGGAAATGTATCTGTATTCTATCCTAGCATTGTAGCACTGACAGTTAGCCAGTTAGGGGTGGTAGTTATTTTGTTACATCAAGCCTCAAGGATCATAGAATCATATGATACTTCAGAAAGTTGTATCAGACATTACTTTTTCACTTAATCTAGATATTGGTAAATAAAAGCATGTTAATCTGATCTTTAATTATTAGGTTTTTTCAGTTTCGTAAAACTATTTGAAAAAAGGATATATTTGATACTTATTTAGTCTCTTCTAGACAGTTATCTCATAAAAGCTGCATAAGTGATCTTTTATTATTATTATTATTATTCTCCCTTTGAATCTGATTATGGCTAATTTACATCACATCATGATGCAGGTTCCACCTAACATTGGTTGTTACTGCAACAGTATGTTGTTGGATGATGTAAGTTTGATTTTAATTGAAATATTGTCCATTCACCAGCAAAACCAATATATGTTTTTTTTTCTTGCATTTAAATGAAGCTTCTTGCCCTTGTTTGGTGTACTGTTCAGAACCTAATCTTTCATCACTCTAGTTCCAAATTGAAGGAAAAAGGGGGAATAAATGTGAATGTTGAAAACTTTTAGTCACATTTTTATTGATATGAATTGGATAGTTTTGCAATTTTAGCCTATCAGACTGAAGGGTAACAATCTTATAAGGGCCACTATGTGGATCATTGGGCAGGTAATTCATTAATCAATCACAGCTGAAGCAGGTAATTCATTAATTAATCACAGCTGAAGCAAAGGTGTTAAGATTAATCAGTTGCAGTACATGAAAATACTGAATTAATAAAATAATGCATCGTGATAAGTAGGTGGCACTTATTGAGAGCAATATGGGAGAATTTTAGCTATGTTGATAAGTTTTCTTTTGTCATTTGGTTCAAGTTGAATTGTTACAAGTGCAAGAGGAAGGCCTAAAAGAATTCCTCCAGGGCTTAAGAGGTGGTGCGATGTTTTTTTATTTAATTCAATATATGCATAAAACTAGAGCAGAACTGCATAAGGATTCATTTCATTACCCCTAATTGCTAGGATAGAGGTTTGTTGTGTTGGATCCATCTCACATTTGTGCATCCATTCTCAACTCAGAAGTTTGTTACCCAGCTTGTAGTCATTTTTGGTCCATATGTTAGGTTCTGCGTTTGCTTCTACTCCTTTGGTGCCCCCCTTCCTCTTTTTTTGGGGTGGAGGACGGGGATGTGTGAAGGGTGTGTCTCAGAAGGAACCACAGATGAGAACTAAGTTACTTGTATTGTTGAATTGTGAAACTGTCTTCATGTCCCCTTGGTATTTACACGAACTTTACAGTGAAGTGGTGCATCTTTTATCACTTGATTCTTATATTCAACAACAAACAGTTCTTTCTTCTTCTTATAACATTTTTTTTTTTTTTTGGGGGACGGGTTGGGGTTGTTTGTGGCTTGAAGTTTTCCAGGGACTGCATTAGAAATTCGCTGGATAGGGCTTTGCTGTGAGATGTTCAATCTCAAGAAAATTCCCTCGGAAATTTGTCAGCCAGCTTTTACTCCTCTTTTTCCAATGTGATAGATGTAATATTGTTTCCTGTCTGAGTAAAGAATTTTGGTTGACTTAGGTCGTCATCTTCTTCTTCTTAGGTGGCTAGGTGGGGGTGGATTTCTTTGGAGAGGAGCTAAGAAGCACGGACACGGATACTGGACACAGATACGACACGACAACGACACGGCAAATCCAAAAAAATTTAGGACACGGACACAGCGAATAGTGTATATATATATATGTGTGTGATGTAGTACTTTAAAAATTACTGAGTGTTACTATTTTTCATCAACCGCACAATGAAAAAAAAACACAAATCTAACTCATAACTAATAAACTATAAAAGAACAATGTTGCAGAGTTATAAAACCAAATAAAAAACAAGACATTAGAATAATAACTAGTATCATTTAATCATCATTGCAACTTTACTCAAAATATAAAAGCATGGACAGAAAGGACTATTAACATTCACGACTGTTTAACATTCAGCACTTTACTGTTAGCACTTAACATTCACATAAACCTAAAGGCTAATCCCAAAAAAAAATACAAAAACAAGTTAGTGTACTATCATCTATTCCCATCCATCATTTGACCTAGGACTTTTACCATTTACAATACCAAAAGGGTAGTACAAAACAAAAAAAAAAAAAAAAAAAACATATCAGCATTCAAAAAAAAAAAATTCCAGAAGTGGCCATGCCGTGTCCGTGTCCGTGTCCATGTCCGCGGAGTGTCCGTGCCGTGTTCGAAAATTCAAAAAAAATAAAAAATTCCAGACACGTTTTTTGGCGTGTCAGACACGTATCCGTATCCGACACGGATTCTTTACCCATTTTGGAGTGTCCGTGCTTCCTAGGAGAGGAGTCTAGTAAAGCAGGCCCATGTCTCAGAAGTTCCTGTTGGAGAGAATTAAGCTACAATTGTTATTGCATTGTGAAATTCTCTTAAGGTTCTTGGTGGTTACATGACATTTGCAGAGGAGTGGTGCATCTTTTTTTTTTTTTGCTCAATTTCTATGCTCAACAACAAACGGCCCACTTTTTTTTAGGTGGGGGGTGGGGGTGAGGGTGGCGGGGGTTTGTGCTTTACAGTTTTCCAGGGAGTCCATTAGAAATTTATTGGGTAGGGGCTCTATTGATCTAGGAAGCACTGACACTCCAAAATGGGCGAAGAATCTGTGTCCGACACGTGTCGGATACGGACACGCATCGGACACGCCCCGACACATGTCGGACACGCCAAAAAACGTGTCTGGAATTTTTTTATTTTTTTTAATTTTCGGACACGGCTCGGACACGCCACGGACACGGCTCAGACACGGCTCGGACACACTTTTCTGGAATTTTTTTTTTTTTTTTTTTTAAATTTTTAATGCTGATATGTTAATTTTTTTTTTTTTTTAAATTTTTAATGCTGATATGTTCTATTTTTTGCTTTGTACTACCCTAAAGATGCTGATATATATATTTACTAACCTAAAGATGCCACAATTCGCCATGTCCGTGTCCTAAAGATGCTGATATATATATATATACTAACATATCAGTGATATATATATATATATTCCAACCTAAAAATATCAGTGTTTTTTTTTTTTAATTATTAATGCTGATATATATATATATATATACACACTATTCACCGTGTCCGTGTCCTAATTTTTTTGGATTTGCCGTGTCGTATCCGTGTCCCGTATCCGTGTCCGTGCTTCTTAGCTATTGATGATCCATTTTACATTATTAGTCAATCTTGAGAAAAGGCTTTTAAAAGCTTGTTACCCCAGCTTTCCCGATTTCCCATTCGTTAGATATAATATTGGTTCTTCTTTGAGTATAAAATTTTGGATTGACCTAGTTTTCCTTTTTTCTTCTTCTATTTGGCTGTGGGGGGTCTGTGGAGGAGTCTAGGAATACAGATCCAGGTCTCAGAAGTTCCTACAAGAGAGAACTGTGTTAAAATTATTATTAAATTGTTAAGCAGTCTTCAGGTCCTTGATGTTTACTCAACATCATTTGTAGAGAAGTAGAGCATCTTTTTATTCACAAACAGAATTATTATTATTTTTTCTCTTTTTCTTATGTGTGCGGGGTTGGGGGGAAGAGGGGTGCTTTCAGCTTTTTAGGGAGCCTATTAAGCTCTTGATCTTTGCTTGTACCCATTCCTCTGCACCTCTCTGTTGTTTTCTATTTTTTCTATTTTTCAAGTAGTTCTCATTACTATCCTTTTTGCTTTTATTCTTTACTCCTCATCACCACTCTCTTCTCTTCTGAATGAGCTTTTGTTCCTGTTGAGGACTAAATACCACTTGGTTGAGCTTATGTGGGACATCTTTCTTGGAACAATTTGGTTTCAGAGTATTTAATTCTTATAAGGGTTAAGCATTGACAAAAATATGTTGTATAATAATTTTTCTCTTTCCTGTTTATATGTTTTCTTTGATGCTTATCAGGGAAGCGAACATTTATTGTGTTTTGCACCTCAACATTTTTGTTATCTTTCAGTGACATATGTATGTCTTTCGCTTGGCCAGGTGGGCGATTGTATATCTTGCACAGATGAAACCTCTCATAGTCCCAATTTTGAGTGGAGAGTGAGATGCTCGGTGAAAAAACATACACGATCCTCTGGGGAGCCAACATCATGGATTATAAATGGGTTATTGGAGAGTGGTCATTATCTTAGTGTAGGTTTTCGGAGTACGCAGTCGTCTTGTGCCATCTTTGTGCATGTCTTATTGATGCAAAGAACTTTGAATGGGTTTTTTTATTTTGTGCTTGATTTCACCCATTGTAAAACTATTACTATTACCTCTTATTGTTATTCTTTTGACTACTGACACTATGAAGCTTGTAATGGTTATGAAATAAATGTTTGAAAAATGTAGATTTTTAGTTGCTATCTTGTATTCCTTGAATAAGAATGCCTCAGTAGCTGAGAAAATTATGGAAATTTGTAATTATTGACTTCTTCGTATCTGCTCGCTGTCACGGTAGACTGGTTCTCACATTGCTTGATTTTCCCAGTTATTGTTTGGTCTGTCAATTCTTGTTGTTTTAGATGCACCGGATGATTTCCTTATTGTTTGCTTGTTTGAATTTTATTTATTTATTTATTTTTATCTTAGGTTACTTGATGGTCAGGCAAAAATCCTTGGTTTCATTGTAAATTTAGTGTTATAATGTAGGATTGTGTATGAACTGAATTATTTATAAACAACTCACCCTGACTCGATTAAAGCTTTGTTTGAATTGTTTGGTAAGCAAATGAGCTGTACACATGACTCAGTGAGTCAGCTCACTACCAAAAGTAAGGTTGAGAATTGTGTTCGAATTTCGAATTCCATTGCAATTCGAGCTCGAGCTTGAATGGTTAAATCTCATAACTATTTAAAAATAATAATTGCATATTTTCTATTGTTCCGTAATGTAATGTGCGAATTACATGTATACACTTCATTCTTAAATTATTAGCTGTCCATGGGCTACCATATTTCGGGGTTTAGTCTTTAGATCATGTACACACTTCATTCTTAAATTATTAGCTGTCAACGGGCTACCATATTTCGGGGTTTAGTTTTTAGATCATTCATAAAGTGAGTTCTACCATCAGTGCATCACAGGGCGGAATATTCTATTAATGAGGTTAACATTATTCTAATCAAAGATTTTACGCATCAATTGATTTTTTATTTTTTATTTTATGGAGGACGGTGGTGTCGGCCCTCTTAAACTATTAGATATGCTTGATTTTTCATTTTGATCGAGAACAGTGGTGTTCATTCTCTTAAAATCTTACATCAATCAAGTAATGGACTGTATTGACATATAGCTTTTGATAGAATGTCTGACTACCAGAATGTAATGCCTATATATTTACAATTCCATGGTCCATGGATCAATGTTGATTTTTGATTTTTGATTTTTGATTTTTGATTTTTTATTTTTTATAGAGTACGATTTTATTTATAATACGAATTTAATTATTCTCAAATACCTTGATCAAATAATTAATGTGTTTCAAATACGAGAACGAATTTAACAAATTTAAAACATTAGAATATAGTACTTTTCAAATAAAATATCATAATATAATTAATAGAAAAAGTTTATATTTTATTTAAAAGACTAATTTAATCTAAAACTCAGCCATACATTATAAATTTATAAGTCTCAAATCTTTACTTGTATCTCGAAAATTATCAATAATAATATATATAACAAAAAATACATGTTGGCACAAAGCCGCTAACCAATGACAATATAGTAATTTTGATGATTACAAATCATTAATAATGTTTATAGACTAATGTTTACATTGAGTGTTATTAATGATTCATATTGAAAGAAGACCTCAATAAAGTAATAAAGATCACATTAATGGAAATAATGGATACAAAGGGACATAAAATTATAAGAAACCAAATGCAAGTCTATCCAAAAATAGCTTGAACTGCAACGATATAGCAAGCAACTCAATGAAACGAAAAAAGCAAGAATACTTCAAAACCTAAACGATTATGGATAAAACTTGAAGAAATGGGTAGATAGCTTGGTAAGTGTTTAGGTTTCAATGTCAAAGTATTTATGAATTCATTTGAAACTCATCTCTATAGAATCATGCATATCATATCATCATTCATATGTTCCTATATCCATTAGTAATAGATTATGAACTTCATCATATATATATAAATATTTAAGATATGAAGTCATTGCTAAAAAATGTGTTAGTTCAAGCTTGTATAAGCTTTGAAAGAACTCCACTTGAGCTAGAAATGCTAGGACTAGGACTATGCACATCAATCACATGATTCATAATGGTCATTAGAATGTAATGGTTAAGGAATATGAAGCTTTTGTTACCATAACTTAGTAACGGACATTAGCACCCTTGAATGCGTCTCATGAAAAACTGTGTTTTTAGTTAAATGTGAAAAATAAATTTTTGTAATAATGATTATTTCAAAATAATTTTTTTTGGTAATTACTCATTATACTTCAATTAGCCAAATCTAATTTTTTGAGATTTTTTCATTAATTCTACATTGGCCTACACAGAGAATCAAGTTTTACCAAAACTGTCAGGAACCCCAATTTGTACTAAAACTAAATTTTTACATTTTTATTTAGTTGGATTTTAATTTTTGTAACGATCCAGTCATTTGCCTTCCTTTCCTTTTTCCTGAAATTTTACGAATGAATTTTTTTCGTTTAATTTTCTTTTCTGAGCTCTGTTTCGTGTCGCTTAGTGTCATCTCGAGTACTCGGAATTAGTTCCTGAGACTCTTTTCCGTGAATTGACAACTTCCTTTGAGGACCGAGTCATTTTCACATTTTTCGTTTTTTGGCACTATGCGCTATTTCGTCCTTTTCCCTATTCTGTCTTTTCTCCGTTTGTCAGTTTTTGGCACAACCTCACTTTTCATGCTCGGAGTTGGTTTTTGACTTCACGTGCCTTCATCTTGAGTGGTTTCCTCGAAATACGTATCTTTAATTTTGCAAGAAAGTACTCTGGTTGCTCCCGGTGCCCACAGAGGTATGGATGCACAATTCTTTAGAATCTTTTTCATTTCTTGGGGTGTTTTTCGTAAATATCTTTTGAAGATATTTTATTTCAGGGGTTTTTAAGAAAATATTTTTGGAAGATATTTTTATTCTGGACGATAAGTGCAGTTTTCACTTTTGGAGAGGCCATTGTGCAATTAATGAAAGTTATTGCAAAATGTCTTGTTTGAGCCTGAATCCTCGTACGAGATTCATTTTCACATTTCGTTGAGTTGTGTACTCTTGGAATTTCCTCCTGGTCGATATTTTCCAGTTTCTAGGTTTCTGGCCCCGATTTGCGCCAAACTTGTTTTGGGCATAACTTTCTACCCGGGACTCAGTTTTTGACGCCGTTTATTCCGTTGTTCATATTTTATCATTTTGAATCTTTTTCGTTCACAAAGTTTTGCCATTTGAGTACGTCTGCTCAAATTTTACTTTTTTGGACCCGACGGGGCCCATTCGGGGCACTTTTTGAGATTTCTATAAAAGGGGAGTGAGATATTTCATTTTTCATCTTCTCCACTCTTCATGCACGACCTGGAGCTCCCATGGCAGCCCAAGGGGTGCTGCCATCTTCTTTCTCCTCTTTTGGTTCACTTTTCCTTGATGGAAAGTCTTCGGCCTTAATGTTTGTTGTTCCTCTCGCCGTACTCTACCTTTCCCCCTTATTAGAATTCAGTTTTGACCATTTCTTGAGTTTGGTTTTGGGGTCAAGTTATGATTTTGATGGGGCTTTCATGGGGGTTATGTTCACGGCGTTGTCCCCGACAAAACCTAGTAGTTTCGTCGGATTCAGAGCCGTTCCATTTTGGTGAGCCTTTGGGATTTTCATCTCAAATTGAGGTAGGAGATATTCTAGATTTAAATTCTTGTTATATAGCATGCTTGTGATGCTTATACTACTTGTTTGCATGATTAAATATAAAATCTAGAGATTTTATTATTTATTTTTCTTGTACGGGATTTAATTTTCCCAGTTGCTCATGACTTGGTTTAAACATGTAGCATGATTTTATATTGCCCCTTCATATGCTCATTGTCGTGTATTAAAATTGGAACATTTGAATAAGTATTAAAGATTTTATTTAATATTTATCTTAGGTGAAAGATTAATTCACATGGCCTTAACTAACTTAAAATTAATATGTGTTAGCATATTAAATTAGGCTTTAGCATGCTCTCCAACATAGTTGAATTTGAAAGTGATTGGAGGTGTTTTGAAAATTAGTAATTATTAATTAATTTGCCCCGAGTGCACTATTTACTCTATTTAAATTCCGACTTGATATTCTTGATTTACATGTCATATAGTTTCACATATATTTGATTTAGAATATTCGGTTAGGTTTTGAAACCTTTTATTTAATTAAATTCCATATTTAAGATTTAATCCTCATGGTGATATACAACTTGGAATTGTATTGTGGCATGCTAGAAAATTAAGTTTTGGTATGGTTGTTCACATGTATTAAATTGAGATTTATTGCATGAGAATTGCAACTTTTGTTTTATATTTAACTTTAGTGAAGGTTTAATTCGCATGGTCGTAAATTGAATGAAATAAACTTCTAATGTGATATTACATTAGTCCTTGGCATATTTTCCAACACAGGTTAATTTGAGAGCATTTGGTTAAGTTTGAAAATTAAGAGATTTTAATTAAAAGAATTAATTAAAATCTATTTTGTGGTCCCATTAGCTTAATTAAGGTTTTAACTTGATATTTGTATTGGCCATGACTTGTTTACTAGTATATATTAATTTGGGACTATTTGAAATTGTTTTAGAACATTGGGATTTAAATTAGCATGATTTAATTAAAGTTCTACTTTATTGTTCTAACAACCTAATTGAGTTTTAGAATGGATATAGGTGATGATCTTACCATGTCCTTTAACATGTGTTAAATTGAGATTAATTGGAATTGAATCGGAATCTATAGAATTTAATTGTGTTTATCTATTTAAATTCTATCAATTTGCTCCATGATTTAGTTGTGTTTTAGAAGTGGTTTCTATATTCAAATCATGGACTTAGACTTGTTGTATATTCATTTGGTTATGTTTTGAATATTGGATAACATAGTTACTATGTTTGTATTCACGAGAATATATTTTCCTTATTGAATATATTGTTACCTTGTGTAATGATTTGCACACTTCCTGTTTAACATCTTTCATGCATAGCATGTAACGAATCGCACACTGAAGATTCAACATTCATCATATCATATTAGTTGTGGATTTAGAGCATGTATTGTATTGGTTTTTAAATTTGGTTGTGCTTAGTAGATAGTTGATTATCTTGCATATTCCTGTTGATATATGCGTTGTTGCACAACTTGTTGATTTT